AAATGACTGGACAACGACTTATGAAACTTTGTGTTCTTCTGCAGTACCACTTTTCAAGCATTCGTTGGAAATCTGCATTCATTCCAGTGTCGGAATTTACACCTGTGAAGATGGTACGCACATCCGCTGTCGTCTTCTTATGCGTCTGCAAACACCAACAACAACAGAGAACATCTCCCGTGACAGGTCACATTCATGCTGATATCAGGATGCATTTACTGGTTCGACGTAGAAAAGATTTCGTATACTTTCCCTTGGTCGCTGATCCTTCATCACATTTACTTCGGTTTCCACATCCATGCAGATAACCAAATCAAATCATGCTTTTTTCTTTGAGGACATTCGATACGTCTCTAAGAACAGAGGTACAGAGAAGCAAATATTATTGCTAACAGTAGCAGACAAAAACCCACTGGTCCATTATGCATAATAAGCTGCTGCTGCATAATGTCTGCTGATGTTGGTAACTAAGAACTGGATATTTCCAAACGTCGATTAATGAACCCGGTTTTGCACCTTTTGACCTTCGAACAGCTTGAAATTCACTGTTCACTGTTGAGCATGCACATTCTACCTCGATGCTTTTTCGAGTCAGTGCTCATGTAATTCCTGCCATATTATTCCCATACGGAATCAGGGCAAAAATGACGTGCCAAGACGAAAAATTCTACCATTTGGACAGAATAGAATTTTTAAACATCAGCAGGTGGTTCGTGATCCCAAAAAATGATAAACAAGCGTCATTATTTAAAAGATTTTCAACACCTACAATAGGTTCAACCGCATAAACGACCGAGAAATCTCATACTTAAAATTTGTAAGGTGTTTTGGCGGATGATTTTCGAATACCGAAACGAGGCATCGATAGTTCGTTGTAAACAAAGCAAACAGATTTTTGTGCGGATGAGCTACGTAAGCTTCAAATGCTGTTCCGTATGCAACACACCTGAGGTTATGAATGCACGCAATATGGTGACTGTTCAAAGAATACGGCCTATGCATTTTCTTACTTTGAAGGTCAACCACAAATCCAAAAAATCGACTAATAATGCATTAACAATTAACGGATCATATAATTTTTCTACACGCTCCCTAGAAACCGTTCTCTCCTTGTTACCCATTAGCCGCAAAGGTCTATCGGCCAAGAGGGTTTGGTGGGTTCTTACAAAACCTTGGCAAGTGTATTCAACCGTTCGGTAAACGAAATTCCTCGGAAGCCAATGACACTTCCTCATAACATAACATAAGCAACGCGACTGCTCTACCGCGTCATAGTCTCTCTTGTTCTAAAGAATCAGGGTGTAAAACGAATTCAAGCAGAAAAAAAATGAACTCAGGCTACCGTACTAGGGACTGAGGAGATTCTCTTGA